TTTTTTTTTTTTTTTTTTTCAGAGAAGATTAGCATGGACCCCTCACAAGGATGACACGCATTAATCGAGAAATGGTCCATTTTTCCCCTTTTTTAATAAAGAAACAAAAAAAATGTGCAAGGAAATCGAGCGATAGCGAACTTCAGAAACCAAGCAGCATCATACACATGAAACCAGATAGTCGTGACCTCGAACCAAAAGCAGAATTGCGACACGAGTCCCACCAAATAAGAGCACAGCAAAAGCTCGTAAGTGACAGATAGTCTCATCATCATCAACAAAGAACCAATGTCGACATCCTATCTGGCGCTCTGCGCCCAGTGTAACGAGCGTGAGGCTGAGGGTGAGCCGAGGGAGATGAGAGAGAGGGAGAGAGAGGGAGAGACTGAGAGCACACACACACACTCACTCACTCGACACGACGGACTCGGACTGAGGGTGGGACGCAGACACAGTGGCAAGGCACAAAGTCGAAGTCTTGGATTCCGAATGCCCAAACGGCAAGTCACCCTGAGTACGAGTACAGCAGCAGAGAACTGGTACGAGGACTGGTCCCCGTACCGTACGGGGAGCCGGTATAAGTACCGGTGACAAGTACGGTACCAGGGGCATTTCTGCAAAGGCCCCGAGGGCAGAACTGAAAAATGCAGTATTTGAAAGTGGCGCCCGAATTGCAGCATGGTGCCAGTTGTCCAAAATCCTACGGTACCAAAAGGACGGGTTTGGAAAAGGGGTGCCAGGCCGAAAACGGGGTGCAGCCAAAACAGCAAAAGATAGACCAGGGATCGAGCCCTGGCGAAGTCCGTAACACCCAGACTACAAATGGTTTCTGAGGGCGTCACCTGCCTGTAGGTCTTGGAACTGGTATTTCCCTGTGATCCACGATGTCATCGATGTCGACCTCTCCATCCATGGTTGGGGGCAGCATTGAGCGTCGTGAGGGAAACTGATCAGTTTCTTTGGAAGGTGCAAGCTTGGAGGCGTGAAAGACTGGGTAAGTGCGAAGGTTACCAGGGATCTGAATTACGTGTGACGGTCCATCCGGATCATCCCCGACGATATCTAGAACCTCCCAGGGTTCAAAGTACTGTGGCATGCGCTTACGGGATATCCTGTGCTCTTGTCCCAGTTCTGAGGACTTGACCCAGACTCTGTCCCCTACCTGGAAAGTAGATGGGCAGCGGTGCTTGTTTTCAGACTCTATCATCGCCGCCTGCGCCCTGTGCATCTGTTTGACAGCTTGCTGCATCAGACGCTCATATCGATATGGAAACTCCAGGGTGCCTGGTGCAGCAGAAGGCTGGTTGTCAGGTAGTAAGAAATCTAAGGGCAGTCTAGGTTTACAAGTTAGCAGCAGACAGTTAGGGCTCACCCCTGTTGTGCTGTGCACCGCATTGTTGTACAGACTGGCGATGAGAGCAAGTTTCTCATCCCAGTCCACCTGATTGGGTTTGATGTAGTGTCTCAGCAGGTGTTGTACAGCACAATTCAGCTGCTCCACTTGCCCGTTTGCCTCTGGGTGGTTCCCGGAGGTCATCTGCAGCTGTGTACCCTGTTCTGCAGCTGCAGCCTTCCACAACTTGCTTGTGAATCTGACATCCCGGTCACTAATAATAGACTTTGGAAGCCCAAAGTCTCTGACCCAGTTTTCCTTGAACAGCCTAATGACGTACTCGGTCTTTGCGGTTTCAGGCATTGCAACTAATCTAGCATACTTACCAAACCTAACACAATGACAAAGATGTGTCTCATTCCGCTCTTGCTCATGACCAGCATTTCCATGAAGTCCATGGACAGGCTCTCACCGGGCCTTCCGGAATCGGAAGGGCTTAACAAGCCCAAGAGAGGCATATATGAACTAGAGATCCTAAACAAAACACCACAACGAACAAATAGAAACCTACCTTCTCAGGAAGGTCAGAGTCTCTCACGAGACACCCTGGCTTATATTCCAGCCGGAACTCAGCATCAACGAATTGGAATTCGACCCAAAGGAATGGATCTGGGATCTGGGCGCCGCCACTAAATCGAGAAGGATAACAGAATATGACGTAAAGTTCGGGTATAACCTCGGACTACAAACCAGGGACCCGTATTCAAGGCTGGCAGAGAAATGGAGAACCAAACTGAACCTAGATACCACGACCCCCATCACCATCACATGGACCAAGTACCTTCTGATCAGACCAAGTAGAATCCGTAGTATGCAATGGCTAATAGCACATGCAGCCCTGCCAGTCAACCAATGGTTACACAAGAGAAGGAAACATTCTGATCCTGATAGCTCAGCATGCTGCTCAATGTGCAGCAACGACTCACCCGAAGACATCCCCCACTGCCTCCTCTTCTGCCCTGAAGCAATCTGGATATGGA